CGTCGCGCTCACTCCCACCGCACCTGAGCGTGCGAGTGGGAAGGAACCGTCGCCCCTGCCTCAGCGGGCGAAGAAAGCGGCCAGGCGTCATACCCCCCCGGAAACGGAAGACTCACTACACGAGAAGCGGCAGTGTGTTGAATTACTACAGTCGGATTATGCAACGTCATCGTCAGACGAAGATGAAGCACAAACGAGCCACACCACACATAGATCGCCACCGAAATCGCCAAGTCCGCGTAAACCGACCCCCCCCCCCGCATCGCCGGACCGTAGAAGCACTGTGGATACGGCCGACTACGAGGAGGGAGGTGAAGAATCTTATGGGTGGGGGTCGACTAAGTCGACGACGTACGCGACCCTCCCCCCGTTCGCCGGAGGATCCCCCCCCGCGCCTACTACCAACCCCTCTGGACTCTCCACGGATGACGGACAGAGGCCATCAACAAGTTACGCCCAACTGGCGGCTGCCCCGGCAGTACCACGACCCAAGTCGCCGGAAACAGCCACCACCCAACCGGACAAAGAAAAGGCACGCTATCCGCCAATAGTAGCAGAATGCCTCCCGGACTGGACAAAGCATTTCGAAGTGCTTAATAGGAAATTAGGCCACCCGCCGAATGCTCGTCCGTTCGGGAAGGGTGTCAGATTCACCCCACAAAGTCCGGAAGAATTCCGGACAATACAAAAATATTTGATCGAAATATCCAAGGAGCTGCCATCAATGTCGTGGTACTGTTACACCCCTGAAGAAGACAAGCCCACCAAAGTGGGCATCCGGGGGCTACCAGTGGGCACGGACGCAAGCCAGATAGGAGAGGCCATCAGGGCAAAGGGATTTCCTCTTAAGTACGTGAAGGAAATCCCTCCTCGTAGAGGCAGGCCTGGATGCCTCTACTTCGCCCAGCTGGACCACCTGAGCCTGGAGCAGCTGAAGGAGCTCTATGCAATAGACGAACTCCTATTCATGAAAGGCGTAACCATAGAAGCCTGGCAGAGAAGAGTAGGCCCAGCACAGTGCCACCGCTGCCAGGCCTTCGGACACGCATCAGCGAACTGCTTCAGGCCAGTGAAGTGTGTCCGCTGCGGAGATAACCACATTGCAAGCGAATGCCCAAGGGGTAGAGAGGTAGAGCCAAGATGTGCCAACTGTGGTAATAACCACACAGCGAACGATCGCCGCTGCCCGGTCCTGAGGAGGATCGCAAGGAAGCAAGGGATCACCCTACCGGGGCTACAACCGGAAGCCCCTAGGGGGGTCCCGCAGAGTCGCCCCCGAATAGTGGAAATTCAAGAAGACGGGTGGGCAACAGTTAGAGGAAGGGGAAGGCAACCACCCCCCCCACCCCCCGCACAGCAACCACAAGTAGAGACGTACGAGGCTCCAAAAGCAACCACCGGGACGACTCTACAGCCACCCGCTAACGATGCCACAGAGAGGCAACAGCCAAAGAAGAAGAAGCGGGTGCGCAGTAAGAAGAAAAAAGAGCAACCTCCTCAGGTAGCGGCAGCCACCTCTACCCCTACCCCAGCGGTAACGATGGCCCAGGCGCAGGTCACAGAAAGGATAACCACCGAGAGTAGAGCCCCAGGAAGGGCTCTATCAGAAAATAGAGCCCGCTCTACACAAAGAGCACGCTCTACCCATGGTAGAGAAGGTAGAGCAGAATTACCGACACCACACCCGAGGACAGTACCAGCAACAACAAGCGCAAGAAGAACACCAACAGCTGCCCCAGACATGACAGATGCCATCCAGAGACTGGTAGGCATCGCTATAGAAGTGGGCAGCCAAGTCCTGGCGGATATAAGAGCCGGGACGGACCCGATTACAGCCATCATGAAGGCTTTGGCGCAGCTACTGGCTCGGCACTACAGTGGTGTCGTGTAACCCGGATAACCTGCGCCTCCTATACTGGAACCCGGATGGAATCCAGCAGAAGATACATGAACTCCGCACTATCGCCCAACAGCAGGACATACACGTAATACTGTTGGGCGAAACGAAGCTGAGACCTGCGACGCGCATAAAGCTGCCGAACTACTTTATATACAGGAGGGACGAGGTCAACGCTCAAGGAGTCGCCTACAGAGGAACGGCGGCTCTAGTAAGAAGAGACATCGTCCACCTAGAGCTGGAACCACCTCAGTACCAAACTATGCGCTCAATCGGCATAAAAATGGAGGCGGCGGGCGAGGAACTAAGGATCTACGCAGCATACCGCCCGCCAGGGACTCCATTTTGCTCCTCAGACATCCGGACAATAATGGAAGGAGAAACACCAACCATTATAGCAGGGGACCTAAACGCGAAACACCCGGCATGGGGATCAAGAATGATCACCCCGCCGGGTCGTGCTCTTTACGATGATGCGGAATTAAACAACTATGACGTATTAGGTCCCGAAGAGCCGACGCATATTCCAGCCGATCACCGGAAGAGTCCGGATGTGCTGGACATCGTGCTCACTAGGAACATCAACTGCCCGATAGTGGTAGAGGTGCTGTACGACGCGGACACACAGCACCTCCCGCTATTAATCACCTTAGGCCTCAGGGCAGTGACGTCGCCTCCCAGAGCCTTCAAGACTAAGATCAACTGGAGGCTCTACCAACAACATCTACTGGAGAGACCTCCAGTAACAACACCGATCAACACAGCGGACGACGTAGAGGCCGCTGCAACTAGAATTACTAAGACGATCACAGAAGCTCTCAACGCAGCCTCTACGATCGTCCCACTTACCAAAAAGAAAGAAGAGCTGCCACAAAAAATACAAATTCAGCTGAGGAAAAAGAGAGCATTAAGGAGGCTTTGGGCGCGTACGCGCTGTCCAAGAATCAAGTCGCAACTCAACACCTTATCAGAAGAGCTGTCGGTTGCAATCCAGGCCCACAGAGGAGAGGCCTGGGAGCGGCGCATATGGAAAGCAGAAGAGGAAGATGCGTCGCTCTACAAATTGAACCGGCAGCTGACAAGAACAAGATCACCTGTATGCGCACTATTAAGTAGTACTGGAGAGAGATGCTATGAGGCCAAGGAAAGAGCGGATATCCTAGCTGAGCACTTCGAGGAGCAGTTTATGCCGAATCCAGCAAGTGCGGAGTTCATGGAGCTTCATACCCAAAAGGAGAGCCGCGTACAGGAGTTCCTGTCGTCGCCCTCGCCAACGCTTGCAGGAGAATGGTTTATTTCTCCCACAGAATTGCGGAGGACGATTAACCGCCTGCAAGTGAGGAAGGCGCCGGGGCACGACCGGATCACGAACGCAGCACTCAGACAGCTGCCAAACAGAACCACAGTAGAGTTAGGAAAACTCTACAATGGCATTCTGCGGACTTCCCACTTCCCGGAGAGCTGGAAAATCGGCAAAATCATCGTCTTGCCAAAACCCGGGAAGGACAGGCGTAGAGCAGCTAGCTACAGGCCGATTACGCTGCTACCGCACATAGCCAAACTGTTCGAGCGCATCGTTTTAAGAAGAGTCCGCCCGTGCATACAACTGCGGGCGGAACAACACGGATTTCGGAGCGGACACTCTACAGCTACACAGCTGACCAGAGTGCTGCACCTATTATCGACGGAGCACAATTATGAGAGAACGTCTGTGGGCGTCTTCTTGGACATAGAGAAGGCGTTCGACAGGGTGTGGCACTCTGGACTACTCTACAAGATGAAACAACAAACGAGTGTCCCTCCTGCTATGCTGCGGCTAGTGGCGTCATTTCTAGCTGATAGAAGCTTCTACGTCTGTGTAGAGGATGCCGAGTCCGCAGTCAAGCCAATTAGAGCCGGCGTACCACAGGGCAGCTGTCTCTCGCCGATCCTGTACGCGGCATATACCAATGATATACCGACGCTGGCTGGACAACTGCAGGAATGGGAGGACGACGTAGAGCTGGCGCTATATGCGGACGATAGTGCCTACTTCACGTCGTCCAGAAGAGCCCACATCGCGGTTGCCAAGATGCAGCGCCTGCTGGACCTGCTGCCACCATGGCTGGATGAGTGGAGGATGGCTGTCAACGTGGGAAAGACGGCCGCTCTACTCACCCGCCGTTACAGAAAACTACCACCACCACTGAAGCTAAGAGGCCAAGAGATCGCGTATCAGAAGGCCGTAACCTACCTTGGATGCCGGATCGACAGGATGCTGCGCATGACTGCGCACGTCGACATCGTCGTCCGCAATGCCAGATGTGCGCGGGCGATGCTCCGTCCAGTCCTGGCATCCAAGCTGCCGATGAAAACAAAGATCACTTTATATAAGACGTATATTCGTCCGAGGCTAACATACGCCGCTCCGGCCTGGTACGCGCTCTTGAGCAGCAGACAGAAGCAGCGGTTGCAGGTCCAGCAAAATCAATCACTAAGGACCATTGTCGGTGCAGGTCGCTACGTCCGGAATGACGTCATAGCGGCCAACCTGAAAATGGAGACAATCGAAGAGTTTGTGGTCCGGTTGACGCGCGGTATGTTCGACCGCGCAGACAACGGGCCACATTCACACCTTAACAACTTTGCGCCGCTACACACTCGCCCCCCGGACGGGCGACCTCTACCAAGAGAACTCCTCTCTACAAGAGATTAGAGAGTCGAGTAAAGCCCGCAATGCCACTGACAGGCCAACTTTGACGCCTAGGTCGAAGCAGCCGCCTATACGGCGACTTACCCGACCTAGCTAAACTAATTAACTAATAAACAAGACAACCAACAATGCCGGATTACCGGCTCCCAATGACCGGCCCATAGAAATGGGCCGTGAGGACTACCCGGGTAATGGGGAAGATGCCCCGAGGCCCGAGACCTGCTGGGTGTAGTACACACACCGCAGCAGACGACAACGTAGTCGCCACCTGTGTATTATCCTACGTAATATCAATTTGTGTACGATATATAACAACAATTTACAATTTTCCTTTGTTATTATCATCTATCGCGAGTTGTGTGAGTCAGTGTTTGTAGTTCGTTTGTGATCTAATACTACTACTACGAAGTAATGGCAGATACAGCAGTAGCTTCCGAAACTCCCGCTCCGGCGACTCCGGCGAAAAAACCGAAGGCCGCCGCTACTGCAGCAGGTGGTGCAAAGAAGCCCAAGGCGAAACCCACTCATCCGAAGACTTCCGAAATGGTCACCAGCGCAATTAAAGAGCTGAAAGAGCGCAGTGGATCATCTTTGCAAGCGATAAAAAAATATATTGCCGCTCAATATAAAGTCGACGCTGAAAAACTAGCTCCGTTCATCAGAAAGTACCTGAAGAGCGCAGTCGAATCGGGTGCGCTTATACAGACAAAGGGCAAGGGGGCTTCCGGTTCCTTTAAGCTTGAATCAAAATCGTCCGCCTCTAAGAAACCGTCGACGGGTAAGAGCAGCGGTGGCGCAAAGAGCGGCGTGTCCGCCGCTAGCTCGGTGTCGGCGAAGGTGAAGAAGAGCACCGCCGCGGGTAAGGGTAAAAAGACAGCATCGGCAGCGACCGCATCATCACCGTCTAAGGCAAAACCGTCTGCAGCTACCAAGGACAAGAAGGCGGCCGCCGCGAAAAAGAAGCCGGCAGCCGCAAGAAAATCCGCAACCGCTGGCCAAAGCGGCGTTTCTAAGGCGAAAGGCGCCGCTTCGAAGGCGAAAAAGAGCGCCAAACCACCGACAAAGAAACCTAAGGCTCCAAAACCGAAGAAGGCGGCAACACCCAAATCGAAGCCTTCCGCGGCGGCATCGAAGAAGGCAGCCGCTTCTAAAAAGTAAGGTCCGCTGTCACCGCCTTCCGTCGTCATAACCACCGCCGCCGTACCTACCTACGTACGTACTCGTACGCGTAATTGTCACGCGCGTATGTGATTGTGTAGTGCATGCAGGCTGATGCTGCTGAGAGACAGGTAGGTAGGTAGGTAGGTAGGTAGGTAGGAAGGCAAGCAGGCAGGCAGAGTGACAGCAAGACGGGACGGACGGGACGGGAGAAGGATCCTCGCGGGTGAACGCGAGTGCCTCGTAGCGCCGCGGCATCGGGCCTATTTATTTTTATTTTATTCTTATAAATAATACCTATAAAAATAAATGGTGTACGTGTGTCGCGTCGTATACGAATATGCGCGAGCGACCGCAATGCTAAAAAGCCCTTTTCAGGGCTAACAAAAATTTCCTATGAGTTTCTTATACGTCACGCGTCAATCATAATGATTGCCTTATTATATATATTACCTACCTATATTATATATATCGCACCGTCCCTCACTTCAATCAAATCAGTCTGTCAGGCAGTTCTATATAATATAATATAAAATATTATGTAATTATGTAAACATTGCAACGAAATAACGAACGCACAACTTATGAACGCACGATAACGATTTAACTAAGTAGGTATATAAATTCGAATAAGCTAAATACACGTATATTAAAACAATAAACGTAGATGCGTCGTAAATGCGTTACAACAATTTACGAAACACTAAATACCTCTATATATATATATATATATATATATATATATATATATACACACACCACCTACTCAACGAATTCAACGTACTACGTTCACACTTTTAAAAAAATTTTAATAGGTGCCTAGGTAAAATAGATAACACAACCGAATCGAATCGAACCGAACCGACCGACCGACCGACCGACCGACCGACCGACGCGACGCGACGCGACGCGACGTGACGCGACGCGACGCGACGAGACCCTACACGAACGTAACACGTATAATATTATGTATATAAATAATATTATCACTTTCACACTCCCTAATTTTCTTGTTACAGTTTTTCGTTTTTCTTCCTCTTCGACGACGATATATTATACTATTCTATTCTAACGCGTTATATCCTATTGCTGCTACCTAGTATTCTTCTTTTTTTCTTCTTTACAAGTACATTCGTTTCGCCCTCGCCCGACTGCCCGACTCCCGACTCCGACTCCGACATTTATAATAATATATAAGTAAAATACAGGGTCCTATTTATACCAAAATTTGCCCTGTAAAATAAGATAAACCTAATTGGTTCATAGAGAGGCCAATCGCATCCCTTTGTATTTGCCAATCAAATTATACGATGCAAATACATGACAGAGGGCGCTTTCATCGTATGTATAAAAGTAATCTGAAAGCATAGATAGTAGATAGTACACATTTTCAATATGAAGATGAAGGAGAGGAAAAATTGCGTTTTCACGTGTTTTATGATTTTACTTGTTATTATTGTGGTTATATCTTAAATAGTGATTTATATATTAATCTTTTAAACACAACGTAATCGCTGCGGTGCCAAGTCCCAAAAAGGTAAGATACCTAAAAAAATACGTGAACATCATTTTCGAAGTTTGAAAGAAATTAAGTCTAACGTAGAATGTGTAGAACTTGTGTTTTGATTTTTTTAGTATATTTTGACTATTAGCAAGTAATATTTTTTTTTACGAATCTAACATAATACTAATTACTAATTTTACCAACGTCGTTTATTAGTTTAGTTATTATCGTTACCTATGTATTAATATCCGTCTTACATACGTTAATACGTTTATTTACATGTCAAAGTATATAAAACTATCAATATGATGCAAAATCTTATACAGGTACTTCTAAATATATTCATTGTTTTACCTTGAAATTTTACTGCGCAGTTAATACAAAGTTCACATTGACATAATGTACTCAATCAAAATCTTATATAATTTGTCACTAAAAAGTCATTTAGGTTTATGAAAAATATATATTTCTATGTCAAATTATAAAATATTGAATAATATTTTTCAGTTATGTATGTGAAATGGAACTGAAATAAAATTTTAACAGTCGTGACCAGCGACAGCTCGATTTAAAGCTAGGGTCCCACGGCCTGCCAGGCGACAGGCCGCGTCAGGCGTTGCTCCGCCTGTATGGGCCTGTCGCGGCCCGTACTGAGCGTTCCCACGGCGTGTACCGGCCTGGTGCGGCCTGTCGACTGACATTCCAATATGTGAAGTGATACGGAGCGCATGGCTGCGTGTGCGGCCGCGGTGGTTTTATTCAGTGGTGAACGTTTGATAAACCAAGCAAAAAGAAAGCAGAAAAAACGACGCTGGTGGGTGTCATCATTCAACAAAAGCCATTCTTGTTTTTATGTTGAGGTGACGAACTATTCCAAAGCGCTGGTTCATTATCATAAAGAGTTAAAAACTCGAATATAAGCTCGTTCGTCCATTCCATCATGAGCATGTACGCGCAAGCGCCACCGCAGTTGAAATAAACGACTGCAACCGACGCAGACGCGCCCGCACAGGCCGCGACAGGCGCCGTCGCGCCGCGCCTTTGATCTTACCGACTCCCGATGGATCGGACGGGCGCCAACAGTCCACCACAGGCCTCATCGGATGCGATGGTTCCCACGGCCTGTTGTCCGGCCTGGCGCGGTCTGACCTGTGACAAAACAGGCCGTGGGACCCTAGCTTTAGATGGACGATAAATTACGCAGTAATTTGTAAGTTGATAAAATACTTAAAAGGTAAGACTAAACGTAATAAGCAATATTGCATTTACCTTATTTGAAATGACGTTATAAACTGAAATATCGTTATTGAGAAATTAAGTTTTATAGAATTCATATTTGAGTGTAATAAAATTCAATTAAAAAAAATCAAATTTATTATTAAATTTAAAAATATTATTTTTGGTGTTGTTTATATATTAAAAGTACTTTGTTTTTTTTTAAATTGCACAGTAAAATCATAGAAACTATTTTTAGCTATTACTGAGTTTTTGCAATTCCAAAATGTGTCATATTTTCAAAATGATATTAAAAATTGTCTGGAAGAAATGGCTTTGTGATACGACTGCCTATTGTGCCTCCTTTATGTATTTTTAATTGTTTATTAAATATTAATTAAGAGTGTTTAAATTATATTGCAATAATATGTAAAAATTAACACCACAAAAATTTGAAGCACAGTATAATTATGCAAGCAATATAGCTGAATATTTTCAAAGCTGCTATCTAGCAAGAACATAAGAGTGATAGAATAAATAATTCATAAACATACAACACACATATACCATACATAACACATTGAATGATTAACGAACAACAAAAAGCTGAACATGCACACATTCACTGCGTCACAAGGAATTATTGTGAAACTACTAAAATAGCACACAAACAAATATCTAAGCAAACATAAACATCCCATGTTACACCATTTCTGGCTAAGCTCTGTAACTCAATAGCAATGTAAAGTTTTATAAAAAGAAATATATTTTAGTAATACTATTAAGTATTTTCAACAGTGTTGTAACTGTAACTGGTATTTCTAGTTTTGAATTAACATTAAGATACATTTTGAATTTAATTAATCATAACATATTACTGAAAGTTTAAAATAAACCTTTAACTAAGGGGTGCAGCAGCCCATTACTAAATAAACTTGACCGAAAATTTTAATTAAAATTGTGAAGCGTTTTGTGCATATTATACTACACTGTCTTAACATGTAATGTTTTATTGAAAGGAATACATTATTAAAATTGTGTTTAAAAACTATTGTATAAAAACAGTAAAATTTTTATAATCATATTCAATTTATTTTTATTTTGTCGTGTACAAAACACTTCTGTAAAATATATCACTTACTAAATCAGCGAGTTAACTCTAAAAATGAGAGATTCCTGTGTCCGGGCAGTAACTTAAAAAGTGAGCATTTATCAGTGTTGTTAAAACTAGCATCCCGTCCATCATAAAATCAGTGCAATGGTACCATATTATTATATTGTCATTGAAGTTACATGTGCATGACAATTTTCAGCTCTATTGGATGTCAACTAGTATTTGGAAAATGGATTGTCAAATTTTAAAACAAAAAGGCATACAAAGGAAGCAAGTTATATAAAGCTTGTAAAAACAAATAAAAACAAAATGATAAAAATTAAGTGTCTTAAATTCAAATATTGTGAATTTCTAATTAGCAAGAAGTTTGTCAATATATTATATGAATGTTACATTTATTGAATAAATATATTATCGATGAATTTTGTTTAATTTCCCTAGCCATTACTTTTATTAAAATATAATATGTTAAGAAATCTATGGTCTATACAAAATTTCAGATCCATTTAATATTATATACTTGTTATATTGTTGTAAATATTGTAAGCATAATACAACTGTTTTATCTATTAATAATGTTAGATAATATAACTGAATATAATACAGCTCTTAAATGTGTAAAAACTATAATATTTTCTTCAGAGCACATGATGGTTTAATAAGAGTTTTAAATTCTTGTCTAAATCAATTAATCCTCTGCAATTTCAATGTTATTATATGTATAGATGTGTAGTCTGTTATAATGAAATAACTTACTTCTATAAAACTTTAGCAGTTATTTATTTTACATGTTTATTTAGTTTTATGTATCTGTCTGTCCTATCTTCGGAATGGCTTCTTTACAGAATAAGGGTAACCGAAAAGAAAGTTCACCTGATGGTAAGTGGATGAATGGATCATGGGTGTCTACATCTGTCTGCTACCTCGATTAAGAATCCAATGCAGAATGCACTGTCACCACTCACTGAATATTAAGTTGGAACAACTCTTCCAGTGAAAAGGGTATCTCCGGTACTCTACACTCACCACACGAAACAGCAGCACTATGCTGCTATTCTGTGAGAAAGTAGGTCTTTCCCAGTCCAGCCAACCCATTCATGCTACAATCAGAAACAAACTTTTTTTTGATATAGATTTATAATAAAACTTATTGAAAGTCACTCTTTTGTTTAATTACCACTGGTTCGAAAAAAACCCTCTGTCCTGGCAAGAACCAGCAAGAAACCCAGCGGGAGGGACATTTTTTTTTAAATAACAGCTTACAATCATGTAATCACAATTAACCACAAAACAAATTAGAAATAGCTTGGTAGTGATCACCACATTCTTCTATCTTCTAATAACTATATTAAGATTGAGACTTAATATAGTTGTACCATGTATAAAATTGTGGAGCAAATTGTTGAAACTTCATGAATAGATCAAGATCGTGAGTGAATCTAATCTACACTATACAAAAAAAATCTGATAACATTAATGATTAGTTTTCATACAAAATCGATTCTGACCATTTTTTTTTTTCATGAAAATAATGATAATTGATAATGATTCATAAATGATAAGGTACCTTTTATGCGCCAAATTCATAGATCTCTATTTTATTTTAACATTTTACAAATCTAACTTTTAATTTAACTCAGGGTTAAAAGCTGGTCTAATAATACACTACTACGAATAACATTATAATCTATGATTTGCATCTCTTTTATTTCGGCAGATATATTTGTATTACTAATTTTCTTGTATATTTAATATTATATTGAAATTATACGCGGTACAAAACTTCTATTTATAAAAATTATCTGTATCTTTACCTCTTCTCTCAATATTTGTTGAATAATAAATGTTACTATCAATATCAATAATTACAAATAATTAGATTTGTTATTGTTAATCAATGTTAATATCTTACTCGTGTTTAAATTAATTTTGAAAATTTTACGAATTCAGTAATATGCACTACACACTAGGACAATTACACAAAATGGCGGCTACGTATTTACTGAACACAAAAGAGCACAAAATGCAAATTAATCTGTAATTATGCTAAATGCCTTATATACTGAAAGCATACAAGAGAACAATTTTAATTTGAAAAATATATACACATTTATTGCAGCTCTACATTGATTACGTCCATCCATATGCAAAAGAAAAACGTCTCGTAATTATTACTTAGAAAAAATAAATATAATGCAACTCTTTTTTGGATCAGTAACGCTATATAGCATGTTGTTTTGATACGTATATTTGATACTTTTGAAATTGGGCAACGCTAATGCAAAGTTACGTTCAGTATATAGCTAAAGATATATTTAAAAATATACTTACATGAACAATTCCCATTTACACAGCCAGTATCTAGATGAAACTTCACATTCTATATCATATGTAATACCTTAAATGATGCCGCCCTCTTAAACCAACCATTTAAATTGTGTTTAGCAGCATTTACACATGTCAATCACAAAATCATCTCATAACACATAATTCACAAAATTACAAACGCCAACAACAACACGCAAATTCAAATTTTAATGTCATTTAAAAAATAAAATAAAATATATAGAGGTTAGGTGTGCTCCCAACAAGAAACTATTAGAGACTAGCAAGAATAATAACTGAAAACACATTGTAGGGAAGGGGGCGGCACTAAAAAGGCAGTCATGTCATAAAATGCAATAAACTATTGTTCTTTACTTAGAAATGGTTCAATGTTTTGCCAAAGTGCAAGGGGCAATAAAGATTCGTTATTTTCGCAAGTTTGCCTCGTTAATATTTATTACTCTGTTATTATAATATAATAATATATTTACCTTACATAAAAGTATAAAATTAAACAAATATGTAGGACTATCGGCTTTATTTTCAAATAAATGGATGTAGAGTTACACTCTTTGGTTACAGTTATAATATATAGTAATAGACAACTTGTACTGCGGCCGTAGAATATCATAAAATAAAGAATAAATAAAATAGTATTTATTCGAGAAATAATTTAACATGATCAATAACTTTATATACTGTTTAAAATGGTAATTACAATTTGAACCTATAATATATACGTGCAGCAACAATTATTACATAACCGACACTGCTACTGCCATCGTAATACTACTTCTATAACACATCTTTTTCTCTAAGCCCCTATAAGCCCCCATACATATTTTGCATTTAACAACTATATGTGTGACAGAAATACTGTTACAGTCGGCTCAATAAATATCCATGCACATTTTTTTTCTATTGAATTACCTATAACTTGAGTTTTATGTAAGAAATACTTTTACAAATATGTTTATAAATAAATAATCTAAATAATACAGTTACAAAATGTCTTTACAGTAAACAATACAAATACGTGCATGGAATAAGTTACTGTCGGTATATTAATTCTAGAAATGGCTTTTTTCCCCTAGAACATTTCACTTGGACTTCGCCGCTTCTTCGGCTTCAAGTCGCTTGCGCATAGATTCGGGCATCTCGGCTGGCGGTGGTCGGGGCATCCTCAGCCACACCTACACACAAACACGCATTAGTACTAGAAACATGTATAATCGTTTACTAGTGTCAGTATGTGGCCTCATAACGCTTTTGTCGACATAAATATTCTGTAGGAACAATTGGTTGATTATGATAATCATTGGGTTTTGGAACTATTAGGACTAGATTGCAAGCTCACTACAACCTAGCACTGACCTAAAAGCAAGGAAATCTCTGACGACAAATAGCGGTATTTATATTTGGCATACTTGAATGGCGACTTTCCACTAGCAAGGCGTTGCCACTTAATAATGAGGTGTAATATTTGACATATTTCATAGCGGGGAAGTTAATTTGTTTGAAAAATGTAAAGGTTTTTTTCCTATACTATTACCTATTTTTTATATTAATTAGATTAAAAATAAATAAAAAAAAAAACAAAATTATTACAAAAAGTAGAAAAATAAAAAAAAACACTGAGGCATTGTTTTGTGTGTTATATATAATTAGAATCTGATAAACTTTTATTTATAATTAACTTCACTGAGGTGACAAAAAAAAAATTCACCTCAGTGTCAACTAGCGACATCTGGAGAGCGAAAGCTGTTGACTGGTGTTAATGAGTGTGAAGTCATGTTACAAGCTACACATGCATCCCCTTGTTGAGCACAGGCCTATAATTTCTGAGAGGGCTCGTGAGCAATCCATCCGCCGCGTTGACTGTGCTGAACTTGATATTCTTGAAATATTTTATTTTTTTGATGTGCAAGTTTCCTCATAATGTTTTCCTTCACGGCTAGCTATGCACGTGCACGTGCTTTGAACTACCAAGACTCTAATGATGAACATAACTTACGAAATCTGTCTGTGAATCTACAATAAGTAGTCACATGATAGGTTTAAAACTTATTAGAATAATTTTGTCATGATCTAAAAGCATTGTTGTTAGTCACTGCACACAAGTTCTTGCTTAATGGTTACATCTATAAAAGTTAAAGTTAGTTACAGCCTATAAACGTCCCACTGCTGGGGACAGGCCTCCTCTCATTTCTGAGAGGGTTTTAGGGCAAGGTAATGTCCGCCCCAATGCGTGTTGGCGAATTTCATAGACATCTACATCTATCCTCTATTACAAATAAAATGCAGATGCGTTGTCACCCGTGAGTACTAAGATGGAATGCCTCGTTTCCAGTAAAAAGGGCCTCCGGCCACCTGCACTCACTAAGCGAAACGCAGAGGTAAACCTCTACTTCACGCTGGTATTCTATGAGGTCGTGGTACCATCCCGGGTCGAGCCCATCCGTGCAACAGCCAAAAGCTGCCGCGTTAAATATTTGAGCTCCAAAGTATGCTTGCCTGGACATTTTACGCCCGGCTTTTACGAGGTAGTTTATACCGCCATTGACTACCTCGTTGCAACTGCTGATCATAAGTTCTCACGTACAAATCCCGGGTTTGGCAAAAATGAGATATTAATGAGGTTTTCTGTCTAGAAATTTAAGTAGCACCCTGAGGAAGTTGGCGGTGTTTCATACCCGTTCATCGGAACGCACGTAAATCTGGTCCTGCGCGCTTGATCTATCCGGTATCCGCCACTTGAATATGAGGTATCTGTGTTTGCACACACACTTATACACTATAATCCTCTCCTTAGCTTAGGTTGATTAGTCGGGAGAACATTATGAATCGCCATCCATCGGAAATAACAACATACATACATACATAAACACTCACGCCTATCACCCAGAGGGGTAGGCAAAGACTACGAACTTCCATTTGGCACGATCCTGACACATACATACATGATCATATCCATAAGTATATGGTAAGTAATACGATATTTAGGCATATCCTATGGTATCCGTCTTACGACACCCATAATGGATTCTCATTGTGTAGTAGTCTTCATAGAAGAGAAACAGAGAAATAATTATTTTTATCTATTTTTGGTGACTTTCTGTAAAAATATTAAAGCAACAATTACCTTGACAGCATCATAGATGAACCACTGTAGAGCGGTTAGAGTACCGATCATGATGATCCTGGGTCCAAGACCCTTCCATACTCCAGCCCATCCGAGCTTACCCACTATAGAACCCACTGTCGCGGTCTTGTCCTGGAAATCAACAGGAAATAAATTAATCATATATACTTACACTGCTGAAATCTGTATTAATTGCACTTATTCATATGTTTGTGTACTTTAACAACGGTTATGGTATCTGATTTTTTATGAATTATGCAATTTTTCTTTGTAATGTTCATAACCCTTTCTTCTTATAATTTTTAAAAAGAATCACCAGCAGTGTTATTAACTCTACTAATAATCAAATTGAGCACTCCAGTTAAGCTTAAAGTGCTTGTTAAGAGTTGTTCACGACCTTAATATTATCCTATAATATTCCAGCGCAACTTGTCTATCTCTTCTTGCAGCTCCAGGATCTTGGTGTTGCCAGGTCGAGTCATCTTAGGTGGCAACCGAACCTCTACCGGAGATTCTCAGCACCCTCTGCCCCGCCGTTACCATGGTCGCCACCGTAGCCAGGAATAGCGGGGCCGTCTCTTCGTAATTTTAATTATGGGGAGTATATTGCCAGAGTGCCACGCTTGGCGAGCGGGTTGGCAACCGCAATTTTTTTTATTGTTGATTTGCTTTTATAAGAAAGATGCTGCTGCTGCCAATCTTGTGCCTCAGTTTCCCTCTGTCGTCTCTTACCGTTTGAATACAAAGAATTTGAAATATTTAAGATATTTGAAATTCTTTGTAAAAAACAAAACAACTGACTTTATTTACACAAACATTAAACATTAAATTAATGTAATTTTACAGCTGTCGCGTTTAATACTAACTTTTTTAATTACCGACGTTTCTTTACAGCACCCATGGTTTAGGGGTGGACTGAGGTGTTTGACATCTTAATGTCATAGTTAACGAAGGCTACCTTGAACTTTTAAATATTAATCTTTGATCAAATCTATGCAGAACGAACTTAAAGGTTGTTTCCCGTGAACATGGGTGATCCATGTTCTTAAAATTAGTTTTTTGTTACGGAATAAGGGTTACAAACCTGATAGTAAGTAGATGCTATGGTCCATAGACGTCTACATCAATCCACAATAAAGAAACAAAATGTAGACGTATTGTCACTCCTGAGTAGAGATGTTACGGAGGTTCGGTTCCGATTCCGAAAGTTCGGAACTTCCGATTGATTTTGCACTTTCGATTCCGACTTCGGTTCCGTTAAGATTTAATCGGAAGTTATATATCGGAGGTCGATGCATGGTGGCGGCGGCCGCGATCAGCGTGGACAAACAATTTTATACTTATCGCCCCGGGAACATCGCTTCCCCATGCCTTCTGTCGATTACTCTAAGTCGGCTACTCACTTGCCTGCCGCAGGGGCAATCTAGGGTGTAGGAGTAGGGATGACCCTTAATTGCCTCCTTAATTGTGATGTGTGTATGCCAGCAGGAGAAATTTTTTAAGTTGGTCCTGCGGCAGGGCGACAAAGGCGCAAGACCTTCCTTGCTCCTAGATCATAGCTGCCGCTGCCCCGTGTATAATACAATTGGGGCAATGTCAATCAGTTTATTAGCACCTTTCGTGCGGAGTACCCCTGTGAGTACAAGTCACAATGAATACCAATAAAGAATGTGAAATTTTGACACTGGTAATAGGAGTCTTTTTTGTTTTTTTTTTTGCACAAAAAACTTTATTTAAACGTAACGTTTTTAATGTAGTAGAGTTATGCTGCAGCTTTTAAGGACTATATTATGGTTGTAATTATTAATTTATTAGTTGTTTTATCGATAAATATGGGTGTCTATGGGCCACAGTATCCACATACTATCAGGTGGACAATGCTCACTTGTCATCCTCATTCAATATAAAAAAATAGCCAAGGCTATATATGCCGATTCATTGATATTTCGATAAAACTGGCGCCATTCTCAATGCGTGTGTCCAGCGAGACGTACACTCTCATACTGAACAGCAGGCATGTGTGTACATACAGTTCTGATTTGCCCCGATCGCTTTTCATCCTAGATTGCCCCTGCGGCAGGCAAGTGAGTAGACGCCTTAACTTGAAGTTTTGTTGTGCGTTCGCACTTCATTTATACCTATCCGAGTTTTTGATTAGTTTTAGTTGTGTTTTATTTGACGTCTAACAAATTTATTTGAATTGGACAGTGAAGTCAAAATCAAGTGCTATTTGGAATTATTTCAATGAAGTTTCTGAGAATACGGCAAAGTGTAAACTATGTTAGAAAATATATTCACGAAAGGGAGGTACGACTATTTCGTTAAAAAGTCATTTAAAGCCTGTGCATGCCACTGAATTCGAGGAATTCAAAAAATTTTAAACAAAAGAAAAATACAGTGCAATAGACCTGTCCTTAACACATTCTGCCTCCACCTCCGATTCCGGTTCCGATAAACAAAATTAAAAAGTCCGCTTCCGAATTCGGTTCCGATATAACCATTTCCGTAACATCCCTACTCCTGAGGACTAACTACACTCTACCGGTACTCTACACTCACCATATAAAACAGTAAAACAGCCGACCCATTCGTGCTGCATCCATAATATAGCTGCAGCGTGGTTCTACCACATATAAAGTGTAGTTAATAAAGAATAGTTGAAGTTAAAGCAAAACACTTGCTCACCTGGTTGAGTTTGGAGACGACCGTGTCTGCAGGGTGGGACACGATGGCACAGAATACGCCCGCGATGTAGCCCGCCGCGAACGTCACCACCAGCTGCTCGCCCTTGGAGCACTGCTCGCGCGGCTTCGGCACCACGTACTGCGTACACGCATCAAAATATCAAGTTCAAGTACTCACCTCAAAACTTCGTACAAATGCTATGACGACCTACACTCAAATTTTGACATTTGCACTACTTTTACTGCGCACATGCATGCCAAAAGTTTGTCCAAATAGTATGCTGGCCTACAGTTAAATTTTACCATAAGCACCACATACTGCGCACACGTACACGCATTCAGAGAAAGTTTGACGACTGATGTACCATCGTCACCAGTCATTATTTTAGATCTGAACAACACATTTACTTTTTTAACAATCTGTGTTATTAATGATCTTTAGTCTGTGAAGCTAGTTTTAGATTCTGCTGAAGGTAAGATGTTTTTGATGAGAACCAGAATACTAATTCCAGAGTTAAAACCCAAAATTCTTAGAAAAGGGAAACTCACATTACAGAAGTTTTTCAATCACCTTTTGATCCAATACTTCGTCATTGTGGGGCATTTATAGCGCCGCTGTACAACCTTTTCTATATGTACGAGGTGGTTATGAAGTATGTAGTTTAAAAAAATAACTATCAATTTTTTGTGTACTGTAATGTCTTAAAAGTAAAGAAAATTGGAATCACAGAAAAGCAAACTAAATGTTTTTTAAATAATGAAACCAGTCAGTGTTGTTCAAGAGCAGATAGATTAAGGAGAGTAGCTCTGTGTTTGTATGAACATTTTAAGCACTACAAATTGTTCTGCACTTCTAGTAGTATACAAAGGATGTATGTTTATCACTTTTCGCTTTGGGTAAAAAAACACATGCGTGAGTGTCGTAGGACACTCGGTTGGAACTTAGTTCCAACCGAGTGTTATTATTATTGATAAACGTATTGTATTATTGCTTGACAAATACAAATAAATGAATTACCAGCGTCTATAAAAATGAAGCGTCATTTAAAATAAAATAATATTTATTTCATGACTGGCAAGATAAGAACAAGTGCGAGAGAGATGGATATTTTGCCATCTCGCTCGCACTATAGAAAGGTCGTGACGGAAACATCTTACACTTTTTCTCGCCTAGTCAAATTATTCTTCTCACTCCCATAGATTGCCACGTTTCTATTATTTTGAGTTGTTATTATTTGTAACACATCTTACTCTAAAGGTTACAATGGGCGGACTTAATGACTTTGGTATTCTCTACCAGTCAACCCTGGGAGAAATAGATAAATAAAAATTAGTAGGTGCTAAAAACTGTTTTAAATGACTAGACATATTATAATGTAAATATACATAAAATACATATGTATACAAACTAATTTACATATAGAAAAACAATAAAAATAAATAAATTATGCATATGTAAATCTAAAGAGTCTTTGCTAAAAAATAATATGATTATGTATATACTATGTACTAGCTATGCTGTACCTTGTACAGCAGCTCCAAGGTCTTCTCGAAACAGGCGAACTTCATCATGGTGTATGGGATCTGTCTACCCCACAGCGGGACAAGACCTTTGTAGAAGGTACCGTAGCCCTCATTCTGCAACATTTTGGGCCACGCCTCGCGTAAAGTTGTAGCGAATCCCGGCATCGTCTGGATTCTGACCTGGAACCACCGAATTTTCAATGTATAATCAGCTCCCGATATTTTACTTCAATGTCGTTGCTCTTAAGTGTGAGTTTTAGGCTTTGCTACTTATTCATTTCAGTCTCCCACACACAAGCGGCTTGCAGTGGCGGCTAACCGCGCTCCAACCGCTGCAACAACACCACCCCGGTCGCAGTGGCCGCCATGGTATCTATGCTACGATCGGACGTCAGTCAACATGGCTAACCGTGACAAAGTCTTATTAATTAACTCTTTATTATTGTTCGCGACGGTTTAAAGACTTTAAGCAAAAAGTGATTAAAGAATATTAAAGTGTTTTAAAAAAGTGAAATTAGCGACAAAATCGAACAAATTGTGTTTTAATATAGTTTTACAGTATGTTTACAACTCGTAATATATTTGTATAAAGTATCGTTTTAATAATAAGTTGATATAAACGACTTTAAACATTAAATAAAATTTCGACCAATCACAGCGCAGCATATCGTGGAACTTTCTAGAAGTTAATTAACTGCGCAATAGTTTATATGAAAATAATGAGAATATTTTTATGTTCTGAAAGAATTGTAAATACGATATTTAGTTAGCATATGGTATATAGATTGAATTAAGCAAATAGATAATTTATGTAAATAAACGCATTTGAGAAATATAGTAAAATTAAAGATTTAATGTGCACTTTTGTTATGTAAATTAGGTACATTTTGATTAATAACTTTTTTGAATGTAAATATATCAAGTAACCCTTATCACATAATGATAAAGGACCAAAATGCCTCTTTTATAGTGTATAGCGTGTTAATGTAAAAATTAGCATTATATAGAAAAATTGCGATTTGTGCAAATTACATAATGAAAATGTTTGATAATAAAAAGGCAAAACCGGAAATTGGCAAGCGGCTCTCTATAGAGTATAGCCGAAGTCTACCTTATGGGGGCAAATCACAGTAACATTGTAGTAGGAAGAACTACCAGTAACAAGCAGTAGTATCCGGTAGTAGCTGAAGTGACTAGTAGCAGAACACAGTGAAAAGTTAAAGTGAAATAGAAAAAGTTTAGCTAGCCGAAAAAGGTAACTGAAAAATCGCAGTTACACATAGTCGGAAAAAGTGGCAACTGAAAATTCTCAGTTGCATATAGTAAAATAGTGTCAGCTAGCCAAAAATAGTGCTAACTGATATTCGCAGTTACATATAGTGAAAAAGTGTTGGCTAGCTGAAAAAAGTGGTAACGGAAATTTCGCCGTTACATATAGTGAAAAGTGTTAGCTAGACGGAAAAAGTGGTAACTGATATTCGCAGTTACAAAAGTGTTAAATTCAACTAAATTTAGTTGATTAATAGCTGCTAGTCAGTAGTGTTAGAAAACCAGCTGCTACCAATAGAAATTTTTGATACTACCAATAGAAATTTGTTACTTTCAATAGATATTCAAAATTACCAATAGAAATAGTAGAAAATACCAATAGAAACTTGTTACTGCCAATAAAAATTTGATATTACCAACAGATATTTTGAAAATACGAATAGAAATTTTAAAAAACCAATAGAAATTTTAATATTACTGTGTGTTTAATTAAATCTGTGTTTTAAAATATATAGTAAACAATCATAGTTGAAAAACAGTGTTAAATAAATAAATAAGTTATAATATTTCGTGACTAATTAATCAGTCGAACCGCTGGCCACTCCCTTGCTATTTTAATTTATAAATCGTGCATTTTTAATTCTGAACCTCAGTCCACAGTTCTCCAACAGCATACACAAAGGCGGTAGTGAAAGTATCCACCGGAACCTATAGGTGTAGGACGTGAGCGGCTCGCGGAGTATCTTCGACAACATTTACTCCGGAGAGTTACGCCCGTCCGGCACAATTATATTCAGCAATATTATCCCATATTTTGTTTTTAATTCTAATATTTTTGTAATCACAGTGTGACATATCATAAAGTACCGGATAATTTTGCACTGTTTCTATTATAATCCCCATATTTAGTACTATTTTTCACGCAACGTAACGCAACGCAACTTTAAACAAAGAAATCTACAGAAATGTTTTGTCACCTCTGACGACTAAGATGGAATGCTTAACAGTTACAGTGTGTAATTATACTGGCTGTCTACACCCGTCAGACCGGAATATAGCGGTGCAAGTACTGCTGCTTGACGGCAGAAAAAGGTAAGAGGAAGTTACCTACCCAGAATTCACAACATGTACTAATGTTAAACACATGATGCCCGCGGTGCAATAAAATGGGGAAACGGGACGCCACGTGTTGCGCTCTCAGTCGCACTTACGGGCCTTACGGCAGGCATAGTGACGCACTATTGCCGTGTCGATGTGTATATTATAAAAAGTAAATGTATAAGCGCCGAACCGCACACATCTCACGCTATCTGTCCCTAGCGATGTTTTATGGAACCGCGGGTAGCGAGTGTTTAACATTAGTCTAGGTTGTGAATTCTGGGTAGGTAACTTCCTCTTGCCTACTCTTAGTCTGACGGAATATGAGAAAGCATTTAATTCCGTCAAAATTTGGGCAGTGCTACAGTCCCTTCAGCGGTGCCAAGTTGACTGTCGGTATATCGAAGTGTTGAAGTGTTTGTACAGTAGGGCTAGGATGGCTATCCGAATACAGAACCAGAGTACCAAACATATCTAACTGCAGATAAAGTGGATGGAGAGTAGTGGACTGTATTTATACTTTAACTGGCGGTGTGAGGTTAGCTATACTAGGGGACTGCTCGAAGAAAAGATGGTACTTTTAACTATACTATATTCACTATTTACAAAGGGTTCGGCACTATTAACTAAATCACTATTCAAAGAGGGAGGTCTTCAGTATGGAGTCTTCTTCCAGGTTTTCTGTCTTGATTCTTCCTTGTTGTCTTCTCGAGTGCCGCTTCCGAATGAACGCCCACGGCCTAAATCGCCCTTCTTATATTCCCGAGGAGAGCGCCTCATTCCGTGGGGTTATCCGCCCGATGGCAATTTTCGCCGCACGCGCGCTGATTGGTTGCCCGATATCGCGTGATCAGCGCCGGCGTGCGGGGTGCGCGGGACGTAACGGGGAACGAAGGGGCGACGGGGCGGCGGGTCTCTCGCTGTCCGTAACATTCTCCCCCCGGCGTAGCCTTGCGAGCCTAGGCTGCACTCGGGAGGACGGCGATCCTCCTGACCGGCCGCCGCAGCAATCCGCCCCTGGTCCTCACTTCGACGTTCCGTACCACGCCGTCTGGTCCGGGAAAGGTCCTCGTTATAACTCCTCTTGGCCACACGTTCCGCGGCATGGTCCCGTCTGCCACCACGACGAGGTCTCCTTCTTGTACCGGGCGCTGCTGCACGTCCCTTGAGTCTCCGCGCGCAACCAGCGTCGGCAGGTACTCCTTCACCCAGCGCTTCCAGTACTCGTCGGCAAGTCCCTGCGCCGCTCTCCACGCCCGACGATCATTAGGCGTGCACGGCGCGGTCACTGGAAGGCTCGATGGTCCCAGCAGCAAGAAGTGGTTGGGTATCAATGCCTCTTCTTCGTCGATGTCGACCGGTACGTGCGTCAACGGTCGAGAGTTAACGGTGTTTTCGGCTTCTGTGAGGAGCGTCGCTAATGTCTCCTCCCGTGGGCTCTTCTGATTGAGTGTGGCTTCGAGCGCGGTCTTCACCGAGCGCACGAGACGCTCCCATGCGCCTCCCTGGTTCGGCGCACCCGGCGCGATGAACTTCCAATCCGTCCGCCGAGTCAACGCGTAGTCCTTCAGCAGGGGTGCCCACTCTTCCATCGCCCGTCGTAATTCGGTGTCCGCCCCATGAAAGTTTGTCCCGTTATCCGAGTAGATGACCCGTGGCCACCCACGCCTAGCCGCCATGCGCCGCAATGCCGATATCGCCGAGTCCGTCGTTAGGGAATAAACTATCTCTAGATGTACCGCGCGCGTCGTCAAACAAGTGAATAACGCTATCCACCGTTTTTCATGCCTACGTCCTATTGTTACCGTTATAGGCCCGAAATAGTCGATTCCGGTGTAGGTGAATGGTCGCGCGAATGCCCCTAACCGTTCAGGTGGTACATCTCCGATAACCGCTGGCCGTGGTGTCGCCTTGCGTACCCTGCACCGCAGACATCTCCGCTCCACTTCTCGTACGGTCGGTCGTAGTCGAAGTATGTGATATCTCGTGCGTAGGTCGTTCACTACCCGTTCCCTGTTAGCGTGGCTTGCTTCCTTATGCGCCTTCTCCACAAGCAGCTTTACAAACTGGTGGCGTCCGTTCAGGATGATGGGCCTCTTCATTTGGCTGTCCACATCGGCTGCGTCAATCCGTCCTCTAGCTCGCAGTACGCCATCTTCGAATATGGGGTCGAGCTTCCTTAACGCGCTGCCGGTTGCCAAGTTCCTTCCTTTCTGCAGTCGACTGATGTCTTCAGCAAAACTCTCTTGTTGACTTTGCTCTATCCACATCCGCTCTGCTTTCTGGATGTGGTCCAATGTTAGTCCGTGCGCCTTTCCTCTCATGGCATCGACGAACTGTAATATCCGAGCGGTGGCCCTGACCAATCTCTCGTAAGAAGAGAACCTCTCGATGTCTGGCAGGTGTGGAGCGCCCCTGGTGTCGCTCTGGTGCGCCACGACTTCCTCCAGCTCGTCATCTTCATCCCCTGCCTTCTCTTCCCGTCGTCGAGGCCATCGATCTTCCTCTTCGTACAGGAATGGCGGTCCCGTAAACCATTTGTCGCTCTCTTCCTTGTACGTATAATTAATGCGTGTTGCCTGATCCGCGATGTTGTCTGCGGTCGGTATCCACCTCCATTGCTCGGGTGACGTCTTCTCCGATATCTCCCCTAATCTATGTGCTACGTATGGGGTGTAACGCGCCGTATCGTTTTGAATCCAATGGAGCGCCGTAGTGGAGTCTGTCCAATAAACTACCCTATCGGCTACCACTCTGTGCTCGCCTTGCACGAATTCCGCGAGTCGCGCGCCTATCAGATTCGCCTGTAATTC